AGAACAAGAGGAAGAGGGACAGCGTGACGGAATGTGGCCAGCAAAGCCTAAAATATTTACTGTCCGATCCTTTACAGAAAAAGTTTGCTGACCCCTGGTGTAGAGAAGGAGAAATTGTTTTTGAGAAGAGAAATAGGTCCAAAGAATGAATTAAGGAAATTTAACATAATAACACTGTAAAGAAAAGAAAAAGTGAAAAGAGCTAGGAGCCGGCCCCGCGGCGTAGCGGTTAAGTGCGCGCGCTCCGCTGCTGGCGGCCCGGGTTCGGATCCCGGGTGCACGCAGAGGCATCGCTTGTCAGGCCATGCTGTGCTGGTGTCCCACATAAAGTGGAGGAAGATGGGCACTGATGTTAGCTCAGGGCCAGTCTTCCTTGGCAAAAAGAGGAGGATTGGCATGGATGTTAGCTCAGGGCTGATCTTCCTCACAAAAAAAAAAAGTGAAAAGAGCTAGAAGCAGAGAAGCCAAATACGGAACACAAATGAGATAGTAAAGTTCTAAACAATGCAATGCTCTTTGAATAGAAAGAACAAATGGGTCTGTAATGCTTATAGAAACAATGTAATTTAATTGTAAATTGATCCAAGCACTACACCATAGTAACGGTCTCAACAATTGAAGAAGTCATAGAATATGCCCAGGTCAGCAATCTCTCGGGGTTTGGTTTGGTTTAGTTTTGAGACAGCAGTACGGTGCTGAGAGCATGAACTCTGGAGCCTCTTGTCTGGTGTGGAGAAAAACAACCTCATGTTTAAGTGCTTAGTACGTGTTTAGAATTATGTCGATAATATTTAATTATTGTCTAGAACAGTGATACGCATAGAAATCACTCAGTTATCTTCTTAGAATGCTAATCCCAGTTTAGTAGGTCTGGATGGGGCCTGAGAGTCTTCATTTCTAAGAAGTTTCCAGGTGGGGACCACACTTTAAGTAGCAAGGGTCTGGACTGGACACCAGTGGTTATTTGAAAAGCACATTTTAAGGTCATATATTAAGCATCGGAAATAATTTCTCCATCCATAGATATCAAAGGCACCTTGTCTGGCGTATACATGAATTAATTGGTCACGAAAGCACATTCGCACCTGCTGTTGGTTACTGGAAATTCTGCCCTCTCAAAGTAGTAGTTTCCGGGGACAAGTGCCTGGATATGGGATAAAGGGTAGAATGGAATAAATGGTAGAAAAGGAAGGTAATGGATATGGTGGGTGGAGAAAACATGACAGATCCCCCCTAGTGGCCAGAGGCAGTCTACCCTAATGGTTTGGGGAGTCACACTCCCTTAGACTTCAAATCTGGGCTCCTCCACTTACCAGCTACACGACCTTACACAAATTATGTTACCCTTCTGTGCCATGGTTCTTCATCCATCAACAGGGATAACAATTCCTCAAAGAGTAGTTATAGAGAGTAAAAGAGATAATGTCAGAAAATAATGTAATGCATTATAAAACTATAAAAAACTAAAATAAATAGTAAATAATTGTAATCTTTAATTATCATAGATAAAAAATGTGCCAGCTTGAGATACAAAGGTAGTTCTCCAACTATCCTAAATGTCAAGCAAATAACCTAGAAATCTATTAATGTTACTAAAGGATAAATAACCCCAAATAGAGCTTTAAATATGCATGTTGATCCATATATAGGAATTTTTTCTTAAATATTTGGAATTCCCTCCAAAGAAATGACATGTATGTGATGTGTGACATTATTAGGTGTTTGTTTTTTGACTCTGCAATATATATTGTATTTTATTGTTTAAGGCTTGTACTAAATGGTGGCCAAGGTTTGCAATATTTAGAAAAGCAATTAAACCGAGGACAAAAAGCTTAATAGAGCACACAAAGGAGATATGCGTTTTACATCTAAATTATATATCTAAATTAAAATATGGCCTTTGAAAGCTTTTTGATATTAGGTGAAAATTCATCACGGAATCACATTTAAAGTAAAAAGTTCAGTTAAGTGTGGTGTATCTGATGACTAGATAAATTATTTTTTTTTTTCTTGTGAGGAGATCAGCCCTGTGCTGACATCTGCCAATCCTCCTCTTTTTTTGCTGAGGAAGACTGGCCCTGGGCTAACATC